CCCCCCCCCCCCCCCCCCCCCCGAGTCACAACTGAGGTATGTCATACACTTCCGCAATGTGAATATTACTGTGGAATTTAGATACGGAAGCAATCGGCGTACGAGCTGCAACTGTTTGAAGAAAGGTGGCACAGAGCAGTGGAGGAGGATAAGAGCTGGGAAGATCCCTATAAACTCGCCCCAAAAATCAAGCACCTATGAAGGTTTGAACAGAAAGAGCAATGCCATTCTCTGTTAATATCCGGGAACAAACTTCAGTTTCTCTCTTGTAAAAAATAGTGTTCTCTCCATCATAATCTTCTAGTTTACTATTTGAAGGTCATTTGATACATTTAAGTATTTGTCCTCGTTTGTTTTGTAAATCTTTTGAACTAATTATATAAGCTTTATTTATTAATTTACACTAATATTTATGTAAATTGAATTTAACATAACTTCAGCATCTTATTCTGGAGGAAGTACTTTACTCTTTTGGGTTTGGACAAAAGTATTTGGATATATATATAGTGGGTTATATGTAAATTATTCCTTTTACACTTTTGTGTGAAACATCACACCTAATGGGAAACAAGGGTGCACTTCACACATCTAAACTTGTAAACATCGTTTATTAAATTTCTTGCACGGTTTATGTAAATTAAATTTAATTAATTAATGACACTAATTCACTAACATGTGTAGCATGAGGTCATTCCATGTATCTGAGACATTTAATTCTCTATTGATTAAAACACTCCGTTTAAGATTAATGTTTATTTTACTTCCTTCCATGCTATTGTTCGACAATGATTTAAAACCCGAACGGGCTTTAAAATCGATGTGGTGGTTAGGTCCGGCGTTTTTTTGGATCAACCTAGTCCATTTCATGTTTTTGCAAGGTTTTTAGGGCTTAGTTCAGACCGATTAAGTATCCGAGTTGTGGTTTGACTAGTTTGGCCATCCAATCCAATTTGGGTTTATTAAAGGTGTCTATGCCCAGCATTGAATTCACCTTTTTGTTGTTGTCATATTTTAATATTGGTCCCTTTAAAATATTGTTATTTACTCCATAACACAATACACTTATGTGTATGCTTTTCAAATATTCATTTACTTTGATTTTTTTTTTATTGAACTAAGTGAAATTTGTTTAAATATTAGTTGCATATTAATATAAAAATGATTTCATTAGTTTGTCTTTCTTGCATTGTTTCAAAATACAATTTCTAGAATCTAGAGTATTTGTTCAAATGATTCGTTCGCTTAAATTAGACAAACTAATTTTAAAATAAAGCTAAGGTAACTCCAATATTTTGAGTTTTGCTAACCGCAAACTTTACACAAACAAGCATGCGGCACGTATTGGGCAATTTGTTTTCCTCATTGGTTCTTCAATATAGAATGCAATTGTTCAGTTGGTGAGTGATTGAAAAAGATACACACTTAAAAACAGAAAAATAGTTCTACACAATATATCACAATGAGTGGGTGTAGGAAGTGGGAATTAACGAGTAACATATATGAGTATTTATTAATTATTTAGAAAATACATCCAAACATATACCATGAAAAAATTATGTTTATATTGTCTGATATTTAACTCGCAACAGTTTTTTTAATGCCATTTTAAAGAGGCATGATGCCAAAGCCAAACTGTTTAAAAGATATGTCCTCCCTAAATTATTCTAATCAATTATTAACTTCTTGACCCTGCATCAGTAAAAAATATAAATGAGTTTTAAAAAAATATTTTGAAATGCTCTAACTTGAAGCCGTTTCAACGAAATTAAACTAAAAGTAATCTCTCCATCCCAGAGTAGTCATCTAGTTTGATTTTTTTGAGTTAAACTGGACAAATTTTAACCATTAATTACTCTCAATTTGTATTACGAAGTACATATTAGTACAATGGAATAAATTTTTGAAGGTTCTAAACAAGTTAAATATATTAAAATATTTTTATACTAATATACATTATAGTTTTCGCTTAATTAGGGCTCAAAGGCCGTCTAGTTTGATTAAAAATGTCAAACGGGACTAATACTTTGGGATTGAGGTAGTAATTAATTTAATACGGAGTACTATATCCATCGGTAAAGGATTGCTATAGTTTGATTTTTTGGTCAAATTGTGGGACTTCTTTGACCACAAACAAAATATAGTTTAAAATAATTAAATAAAATAAAATTTGATATTTTAGAACTATATTTTAAAATAAATATTAATTTTACTAAATTTATATTATAATTAGATTTTTTTCATAATTCGCAATCAAATGATACTACAATTTGACTAAAAAATCAAACTATGACAATCTTTTAAGAATGAAAGAATTATATTATTAGTAACATTACATCCGATGGAGCTAAAATTTCACCATTTTTTGGCTTTGGGGTGTGATGGAATAAATCAAAATGGATCTCTAAACTATCTGCGCTTCTTTAATTAATGAAGTAGCAGTTAGTCAAGCAATGCAACTTTTGATGTTGAGCCGGGGGTCTCTTTGGAAACAGCCTCTCTACTTTCAAGTAGGGGCAAGGTCTGCGTACACACACCCTCCCCAGACCCTACTCTTGTGGGATTTAACTGGGTTGTTGTTGTTGTTGTTGTACATTCAAGATTTTCAATTCTCATTTTTTATAACACATCATATATCATTTTTAAAAGGACCATGCTACACTTGCACCAAAATTTATACTTCAAACTTATACTAAAGGTATACACCAACATTTTAATGATTTATATTGACACAAGATCTAAATGCGTTAACAAAAAATTACACTAATACAAAATATTGGTGCGTTAACAAAAATTAACATTACACCAACACAAAATGTTAATGCTCCAAAATATTGGGGTACATGTAGCTTTGTCCTTTTAAAAATGAAAAATTATCTCAAATAATCCCACATTTTCGCGCTCTTTCAAAAATAATTCCACTTTTCACTGTCACCGGAAATAATCCCACCTTTTCGCATGTGTTTGAGTTTTGGGTCACCGTTAAAAAACTAACTGCCACTTAACGTAAGTTTTTAAAAATGCCTGTTTTTTGCAAATAAATGAAAGGCGGGATTATTTTAGAAAAAATTACTTTTTACTTTTTTAGTTTTGAATTTAAAATTAATATTTTTAAAAATAAAACAATACACTTTTGTTAGAGATTTGTCTAATGATTAACAAATTTTGTAGTGATTTATAAAATTTATGGGTTCCGTTTCGGAGAAAAAAATATTGTGTCATTTTCACAACTTTTAAATTACTATTTTGGGGAAAATTTTGTATTGAATTATTAAAAAAATCACAAATTGGGTAGTTCCATTTTAGAAAGAAAATTTTATTGCAATATAAGATTATCAATAAAAATTTCAGAGTGTTCATGAAAAAATTGCAATACATCAGGAAATGTTGTGAGTTATAAAAATAAAAGTTCTATTTTAGAGAAAAAAATTGTTGTGTTATTTTCACAACTATTGTAATGTTGTTTCACAAAAAATATTTATATAAAACTATCGAAAAATATTCATAAGTTTTGTAGTGCCATTTTTTTAAGAAATAATAATAATGTAGTATCAAAAAATAATTTGAAGTGCAGCTCAAGAAAAATACAGTAAATGCAACTTTCAAAAAAATGTATTGTGTACAAAAATATTCATAAGTTATGAAGTTAATATATTAGCTCTATTGTGTAGAATAATTTATTGAGCAATGCTAGGGGTACACCAAAAGTGTACCCCATTTGTCCCCCACCTCCTTCTCCACCACTCATTTTTATCTACTTTTTATTTATTTAATTTTTTTTAAAATTTTTGCCCATTTTTGTGGTAATGGAGGGGGTGGGGGACAAATGGGGTACACCTTTAGTGTACCCCTAGCATTTTTCTAATTTATTTTCTAATTATTACCATATTATTGGTTATTGAAAAAAAACAATTAGTTTCACTCTAAAAATACTTAAATTTGGTATTTTTTCCAAAAAAAATAAAATAAAAATACATTTAAAGAAATTAAAAAACGAAAAAATGGAGAATTTACCTAAAATAATCTCACCTTTCATTAATTTGCGAAAAACGTGCATTTTTCAAAATTTTTGTTAAGTGACCGTTAGTTTTTTAACGGTGACCCAAAACTCGCACACATACGGGAAGGTGAGATTATTTATGGTAAGAGTGAAAAGTAGAATTATTTTTAAAAGAACACTAAAAGGTGAGATTATTTGAGATAATTTTTTCTTTTAAAAATGAGAAGTTTGATTTTAATTGGAGACTAGATGTAATTACCGAGTTAAAAAGCGAGCCTCCATAGTTGACGTGACCGATTTCAAAATTCGTCACGACTTTAGTTTCAGAGCGGACCAAAACCATCTTTCTCTCTCTCTCTCTAGAATATAGACTGTCTGTCTTCTCCAAGCTTTCCTCATCTGCTCCCCATCGTCCTTTTCTTCCCCCCCTCCTCCGCTTCTCGCTCTCCAGATCTTACATTCTCTGACTGCTCAGAGGCCGCCTACTGTGCTCGAATGGCCGGACAGTTCGATCGCAATCCGTTCGAAGAGGAAGAAGTTAACCCTTTCGCTGTAAGCTCTGTTCCTTCTGTCTGTATCAGCACGCGTATTTTCGCCTGTTCTAGAGTTCGGATGCGCAATTTGACTTCTCTGCTTCTGTATTTCGCTGTCTTGTGTTATCAAACTCGACTAGATGTGTGTGCTTGTTTATTGGCAAATTGTGATCTGAAAATGGACTTACTAGTTCGTTGCTACTGCTATGGTGTTGATCTGCCTGAAATCCGAACTGGATTTGATGTCTGTGTCACTATATGCTATGTGGTCGATTAAATGGGCTGACTTGATGTGTTGTATGCTGTTTTGTTGTGTTCGCTATAACTCCATGTATATATTGCTTGGAACTCTGAAGTTGTGTTTGGTGAATGGAATCTCAGTGCTGAAACAAATCTCAAAATGCGTGATCTGAGTTTTGAATGCGAGGAAAATGATGGTTTTGTGTAGTCACGAATACACTTTGCCAGAAGTTGATCCCTGACTATTTATTATGCATCTTCCTCGGGAATTTTCCACCATAATTTTCTTATTTTCCACTCGAGTAGTCTATGTGGGCATTCACAGAACATGCTGGCAGTTCTGTCTCAAATGTGGTTTAATCTTATGGGTGATGGGATTATTTGATTCAATTCATTTGTTCATGATAACATCTCTGAATCTTGAACTTCTTATGTTTGCTAACTGCCAGGAGCAAGGAGGTAGGGGAAAATCAACGGGACTATCTACTTTTAGTGGAGGTGCATTTTTCACACCAGTAAGTTTGGATTATTTTCATATGTATTTCAAGTTTCTATACACTTGAATGAAAAAAAGCTCGTTAATCTTCTCGTGTATGTTCGGGATAAAGAGCGGCACTACAAACTGCCTTTATTAGCTAGATAATTAATTGTCTGAAAATGAAATTGGATATAGTATGAGATTTATTTAGTATCATTTCTGTACATGTGTCACAGTAAATTTATCTTGAATGCAAATATGCAGTTTGTGTTTTTACCTCGATTCACCCTTAGTTTGGTCTGGAATAAAAGATAATATTATCAATATATTTATTGAAAACTAATCTGTAAAATGAAAATTATTTTAAGAAAAAGAGTTTTCTGCAAAATAATCTCAAAATGATTTCCGTTGGAATGATTCCAATCATTGTAAAACGACTTACCTTACTGTCAAATGGGTTCCTCTAATATTCAACATTTCAACTAGTTACTAAGCTTGCCCATTTTTCAGTATATAAAACGCTGAAAACATTTTCCGTGGTTATCTATCTCTTGTATGTATATTGTAATATGTATATTAATGTTTCTATTCCTGCATGCCAACATATTGTATAAAAGTCACTGCCTATCAACATATTTCTCAACTTGCAGAACCCTGGGAGTGTTCCTTCAGCTCTATCACCACTTCCTCATGAAGGTTTCTATAACAGCAATGCATCTGTCGATATTCCACTAGACAAAGACAACACAACGGTACGTTGCACTTTTGGATTGATAAATACACAGCCATCTTCATCTTCTATATCACAACGTTTTTGGCCATCATGTGTTTTTTAAAGATTGTTCTAAGGTTAAACCGCAGGATTATAAAAAGAAGGAGAAGGAGCTACAATCTAAAGAGGCTGAACTTCGGAAGAGGGAGCAGGTATGTGCTAAAATATGAAGTATGAACATAATTATCAGGGTCTGTTCTACATAATATTTTCTATTTAAAACCATTCTCTCATCTTAACGTGCACTATTCGAATCTCACTGGCCTGTAGAACTTGAAAGTTGAAATGCTCCATCATTTCAGCTGGATGCCAGTTTAAACATCTGCTCAAAAAAGTGCATTAAGAAAGATGTCAAATGTACTTTCATTCCCTATTTTTTTGGAGTTTGGACTCATTTGTTTATTCTGGTGAAGATCCACAATGTGAAACAAAATGCATTATTCCTATTGAACTGTTACAATTTTTAACATTTTATCCAATTACAGAAATATGTTATGTGGGACCATGTATATTAACTTTTTATGAATATGCTTTCTCTTTTTCTTGAGATTCCTTTTGCATCATCTGCCACGCCCCTCATTTAAGTGATTGTAGATTTTCCCATTTTCTGATTTGAGTTGTTCCTGTCATGTTTGTAATTTGGTTTGTTACTCCTATGCAGGAGGTAAAGCGGAGAGAAGATGCTGCAGCTCGAGGTTCCCTTTGCTGTTTTTTCTTATTCTTTCCTCTTGCTTCTTTATTACATATATTCAAGATGATTTGGTTTGTTACTTTCTTAAATTGTAGTTGATTTTACTGACTAATCAAAGATGGAAAACATTACCATATCAAATGGAACACGTTTCATATAGAACACATTTTTTAGATTTCTAGTTTTAGGTGAACTAAGTCAATGAATCATTTTCTCGTAATTGAGTTTACTTATTTCAACTTTGAATTATCATTGATCTGCAGCTGGCATTGTTCTTGAGGAGAAGAACTGGCCACCATTTCTTCCAATAATCCATCATGATATTGCCAATGAAATTCCAATTCATCTTCAAAAGCTGCAGTATGTTGCATTTACTACCTTGTTGGGTATGCCTCATTCATTTCCTGTATTGAAAATCAGTAAACTTATTTTATCATGTTTAGCTGTTCCATTTTAGTTTGGCTCTGACAATCTGTGCATGCTACTCTTTTATAATCTACTGATATAGTTATAGGATCATAGTCTTTTCTTTTATGTATTGTGTTAACTTGGTTTAGACAGTTAATTGCAACTAAACCTTATGACATCTACATGACTACAATGTTGCTGTTTGGTTGTTTTTGAATTGTTTAATGTATGTATGTGTGTGTGTCTGTGTGTGTTTGTGTGTGTGCACTGATGCTTAATTTTTTTGGGGAGCAGGGCTCTTTGCTTGTCTTTTGTGGAATGTAGTAGCGGTCACTACTGCATGGATTAAAGAAGGAGGTTGGTCTAAATCATTTCTGGTTTTGGTGGAATGCCAGTAACCACATTGCTTTTGACTAGGTGCTAACAAAGCTACTTTTTTTTTTTGCATTTTTTGCAGATGTAAAAATCTGGTTCCTATCTATTATTTACTTCATTTCAGGGGTTCCAGGAGCATATGTACTGTGGTACCGTCCACTCTATCGTGCTTTTAGGTAACTTTTCTTCTGTGGAATTATCAAAAAATCGTTTCTAGCAATTTGGGTGTTGGGGAGTTGAAACTAAATTGTGAATTCACTCCATTATTTTAACAAAACATTTGTGGGCATTACATGTTACTCGATATTCTATAAAAAAAAGTTATGTTTGACTCCATATGATTACAAAGAAAAGCAAAATTGTGTGGTTAAATTTATGCAAAGGAGAGAAATAATACAAACAACTTAATTCTTTTAAAAGGAAACTCGCACATTACTTTGGGTGGGATGAACAGAAAAGGAAAGTGAAAACAATTTTTGGGAGAGAGTCATTAGTTTGAACAGGCGTTACATTCCTTTCTATATACCGAGTATGATGTGTTCTGAAGCACTTCTTTTTTCCACATACTTGTTATTTTCTTAAACAATGTGTTTTTTCAATATATGTTCATGTTTTTTTGGGTAAACATATATGCTTATGTTTTAATGATCTGTGCAGGAGCGAAAGTGCAATGAAATTTGGATGGTTTTTCATGTTTTACTTGGTAAAATTATGTGCTAAAAGTGCTAGGTTTCTAATCCTTGCTCATATTTTTGAAACTTTAATAAAATTTGCCCCTCCATGCAGCTTCACATTGGATTCTGCATCTTTGCTGCAGTTGCTCCTCCAGTAGTTTTCAGAGGCAAATCTTTAACGTAATCTCCTTTTTCCACTTGCTTTTATACCCTTCAGGGCAGTATTTGTTTAAGCTCAATGCGATAATTTATTTTTTAATATTTCAGGGGTATCCTGCCTGCAGTGGACCTCATAAGCAAGCAAGTATTGGTTGGGGTAAGTTTTATACCTTTGTTCATTTTTTAATGTGCCACTTATACACTTAGTAGTTGGTATGCATTTCGTTGGATTCATAACTAACTTATCCTTCTTCAATCCCCATATATTCTCTGTAGTGGGATTTTTAGTCCCCCAACAGCAATTTGTATATTCCCTTTCTTACCCTTCCTTTCCATATGTTCATAGATTTTCTACTTCATCGGCTTTGGCTTATTTTGTCTCGAATCCATCATCAATGTCTGGGTTATTCAGGTATGCCTCAAATGTCATCTCCCCTTATATTCATGCTCTCTTTGCTCTCCCAGTCCCCAAGAATTCTATTTTTTCTAATCGAGTGCCCCAACCCCCAAATGTCATCCACTTTATATTCATGCCCTCTTGCTCTTCCAGTCCCCAAGAATTTTATTTTTTCTAATCGAGTGCCCCAAATATATTCATGCATTCTTTGCTCTTCCAGTCCCCGAGAATTTTATTTTTACTAATCGAATGCCCCATCATTTTGCAGCAAGTGTACATGTACTTCCGAGGTAGCGGTAAAGCTGCAGAGATGAAACGTGAGGCCGCCAGAGGGGCCTTGAGGGCTGCTATATAAATATCCATCTTTTTGGGCACTGATTTATTATTACCTGATACACGAGGAGGCTAGGCACAGATGTATGCGTGTTACATATGTTAGGATTTGTTCTTCCCTATGTATGTTGTTAACCTTTAGACCCAAAGTGCCAATATAGACAAACAGTCAATTCTGCATATTTATTTTTTTTCAAAGGGTTTGTGTGTAAATTGTCCTTGACTTAATTATTTTTGTATTCTACTCCCTCCGTACTACTACGGAGTATTTTTGGTCTTGTTTGGGACAAACATTTTCGATTAGCGTTAGCATTATGGATAAGTTTTTAAAAGTATAGATCAATTCTGAAAATGTTAACGTTAAAGTCACTACAAGTCTACAAGTAACATAATTAAGATTAATGAACTATCTATCGAAGAATCTCTGAACATTTTTCCTGCAACTATCTTGTTCATCTCTTTAAATACTTAAAATTAAGATGCAAGTATGCTTACCATAAATCAACATTGTTTGTAAATAGGTTCAATTCCCCCACCCCCTCCCTTAATCGCATTGTAACATTTTGATTTAAATTGTTAATTAGGAAATAGGGGGGCTGGTTGGAGGGCCTGGTGAAGGTTTTGGTGTCATGAGGACTCTTTTTCGAGGCCCAACAAACCATTGTACTCTTTTCAGATTATTTAATATGAAAAATGGTATAGAGTTAAAAACTAAAAATTATATATTAAAAATATTATATCAAAATATCTTCAGAATTAGTGGTGACATGATTATTTTATTTTATCAAATGATCAACGAAAATAAAAAAATAAATGAAATTTGACATTGTAAATAATAAACATGCAATAGGTGGCTCGATCAAATTTATTTTATAACATTGAAGTTTAATATCAATTGAATCTCATCCATAATATCTTTTTTAATACTATATATTTCCCCTATTTAAGTACATAATTTTTATTCTTAAATTTTATGTCAATATTTCAACAAATCAAATAAAAATAGTTAATCAAAAATTATAAAGAGGAAAGATTGGAGTAATTATAATATTAATACGGGAGTACTGGTAGTAGTAATGACGGCATACACACGAGAATGGATTTTTGGCACTCCAAAAATCCAATCCAAAATGAGAAAGGAAGAACATCAAATCAAATCAAATCATCGCCCAAACATTTTAGAATGAGAATCGAATTGCTACTAGCAATAAGCGGCGCATTTCTTGGTGCAGTCCACGGTGCAGCTCCCTCCGCCGCCGCCGCCGCCGTAGCCCTTCCCGGATCTGCTGAACGACTTGTAACACTTGTCGGGACACGTCAGCTTCTTCCCGCGACACGGCCCCTTCTCCTTGCAGACCACCGCCGGCGGCCGCACCACCCCGCCCTTCCCGTACCCGCCTCCAGGGCCTCCGAAGCCGGACCCGTACCCGCCGCCGAACCCGGGTATGCTGAACCCGGGTCCCGGCCCGAAGAACCCTCCGAAGTCTCCTCCTCGTCCTCCCCCTGCGCGGCTCGGTTCGCCGCCGTGCTTGGCCTGTCCATCGCGATCCGGGTCGGGTCGGGTGGAGGAGGTGCGGGTGGCCGTGAGGATGAGGAAGAAAGCAAGGATCAAAGCTGCTCTGGTGGATCTCATCTTCATCATCTTCAATATGCAGTCGTTCAAAACTCTGAAAGTGTTTCTTTAGTATTATAACGAGTGGTCAGAGGAGCATTTATTAAGTGGCTTTAAGACAGAAGTAGGAAGTAGAGTTGGATGTAAGTATTTTGAGATAAAATACTATTCATTCTCGCACCTTTAAAATAATGTAATACTCATTTTAAAATAAAAAATTACTTATTTTTACATATTTTTTTTAATACAATTATAATATTCATTTACGAATAATGTAGTGTTCATCGTGAAACAAAATGATGCTCGTTCTTAACTAACGTCATTCTCTTCAAATTTAGAAAATAGAATCCAATAATATAATTAAACTTACATTACTCCCCATTATAAGAGTCATATTCATCGTCCTCTTCATCATCAGCTTCATGGTTGTCACTCTTGCAAATCTTCACTGGGGATAGGCATCTTCAACAATCCACGCAGCTAGAGCTCATCGGCATCATCATCGTCATCATCACCTTCTTCTTCTTCTTTCACAATCCACATCATCACGGTTAGGAATTCCCATGTACTCTCTTCGTTCTCCGATCGATGCAGCTAGGATTTGCCATCGACGTCGCGTTGCCCTTCTAATTTTCACCAGCTATACGGTTCTTTATAGGCGGTTGTAGATATAATTTGTGTCAATGTAGGGTAAGCACAACCTTCATACTTTTCTAGTGTACTATTTCGCTCCTCTAGATTTTAGCACCACTTAAATTCTATTCCCTCCGTCCCTAAATAAAGTTCCATTTTTGACTTTTTGAGGATTTAAGGGAGGGATATTTTTGTGTTGACTTTCCAAAAATACCCTTGATGTAATGTGTAAAAGTAAGACGTGATAAGTAGATTATTAGTAAAAAGGTATGATGTGATAGGTAGGGTATGAAAAAGTAAAGGGTAAAAGAGGTTTTTTAAGGAAAAAGAGAAGTTTATTTAGGGACAAAGAAAAAACGAAAGAGGAACTTTTACATTTTTCATGTCATAAGTCGTGTTTTGGTAGTGTACATACATCAATTTACCGACTTACTACGATCATTTTTTAAATAATTAACTTAAACTAATTAATAATACGTATAATTTAATTTTAAACTAGTTTTTAAATTATTAAACTTTTTAATGCTCTGTAAAGAGTTTTGAAATAATATAAAGTATAATATGTAATAACGCGATAAAAAGACGATAACATTTCGGTCCCGTTTGGCATCAGCGTTAGAGATTAGCGTTAGCGTTTTGAAAAAGCTATCCGACGGTAGCCTTTAGCGTTAGCGTTTTCAGAATTAATCTGCACCATTAAAATTTTATCCAAAACGCTAACGCTAATCGAAAAAACTGTTACCAAACAAAGCCTTCATCCATTTAATTCTCTTAGAAACTTTATGGGAGTTGAAAGGAATCCATTTTATTTTTTTAGAGAGTAAAAATTCGTTTGTAAATATAGATTGTAAATATTAAATTGATTTTTTTATTTTAAAAATAATTAAAACATCGTACTCAGGATGTATAGATAAAGAAAATTGAAGAGAGATCCGGTATGCACCGTAAATGTATAGACTCGCTCGTCATTTTTTATTTTTCAAAGAAGACGGTGTGAGATTAGAGTTTCATTTATCTTCAAAATGAATTTGAAAATTTAAATTTATTTTTGTAGGTATTGATGAACAAACGAGTAGCGACCTCAAATTTTCTTATTTCATACTCCCTCCGTCTCCAAAAGAAGTTCCCTTATTGACTTTTTGAAAAATTAAGGAAGAGATATTTTGGTGTTGACTTTCCAAAAATATCCTTGATGTGATGGATAAAAGTAAGATGTGATTGATAGATTATTAGCAAAAAAGTATGATGCGATAGGTAGGGTATGAAAAAGTAAGGAGTAAAAATTGTTTTTTAATACAAAAGAAAATATCTTTGTAGAATAAAGAAAAAACGAAAGGGGAACTTCTTTTGGGGAGGGAGGAAATAGTTGCTAGTGTCTATATCAGTTCTAAAATGGAATTCGTCCTTTTTTTGATTTATTAAAATTGTTTGGATATTTTTACATACATGGCCTACTCCGCGTAAGAGTTTAGATGCATTTGTTTGTGTCTGATATTTAAGAGGGCGAAAATAAAAGGGAAAAAGATCTGTAAAATCATTGAAGGGTAGAGGGTGGGTGGCAGTTGGGAACATACTTAAAAGTGGTTAATAAATTGTAGTGATAGAGTTACAAAAACAAATGTCACAAAATATACAAAAGTAATATTTGTAAGTTTAAATTTATTATTTTTAATTATTAAAAATTATTTTTTTCTTGATTAGATGTACCTATTACTCCCTCCCTCCTAAAACTTTCTTCCCGTTGTGCAAAATGAAGAAAAATCTCAAATTTTTTCAATCTATTTTATTTAAATATTGGTATAGAAATAAAAAATAAAACATACATACTTAAAAACTACATCAAAAGTTCAACAAAACAAGCGGTGACAAGAATATTTTATTTTATCATATAGGCCATGAAAAAACACAAATAAATATAAATTCCCGTGAAGTTGGAATAGTGCTATGGGAAGAAAGTTTTAGGACGGAGGGAGTATAAAATTATAAATCTTGTGATCATTATGTTTGTAACTTTAACATTTTTGAACTGTCTCTATGGTAACTCAATTGGTCCAAGGATACGATGTCAAACCTATAGATCCTGAGGTCGAATCTTGGCAGGAGCAATGTAAGAGTTATATTCTTTGTAATAGCTTCTTGTGCGCACTGGACACGAGGTGGTCTTTATGAGAGTCAGATTAATATTATACTTACTTTTCACACTATCTTATTGTGTTGAGATGTGAGAGTGTCTCGGGTGGGTCTTTCACCTTTTTTTTTATATCTTTGAACTAACAAAAGGATAATTAAAAAAAATGAGACACATTTTTTAAGAGAAAATACTAGAGTCACAAACATATAGTTCACACACTTCACAAACTTGCCATTTGTAAATTATAAATTAAAATATCTTCTATTATTTGAGTGCATCTTATTTTTAAGAAAGTATTAAAAAGACAAGTTTGTAAATTTTGTGATCTAACATTGCCCGTTAGACTCAGGGCAGACCAGTAAGAGCATCTCCAATCACGCTTGCTAAACATGACTAGCTAAAGTTATTTATTAACATGTGAATAGTGGTATAGCCAATCATTTTACATGATCATCTCCAATCGTTGCTTGCTATAATTTAGCAAAAATGTATTGATTTCACTATTAGAGTACACTATTTATTATAATTTTAAAATTTTATTATAAAAATTAATTAATATTCTACAAGTATGCAATTTAAACTTAAAATAAAATAAATTTTATAATTTTTTTGGTAAAAAATAAAATTATTTTCTTTGTAAAAAACATAAAATAATATTTATTAATTTTTCTTGCGTTGTGGTACTGAAAGTGAGGGAACAAATGCGTCATGGCACATGAAAAAACTAACCCAACCAAAATTTTTCTTTTTCTTTTCGGCTTGCTATATTTTATCAAGTTTGTTATTAGTAGCAAGCCATTTTCATATTTAAGCAAGCTTGTCTAACATTAGCAAGCCCCTTGGAGTATGAAATTTTACTTAATTTGTCAAATTATAGCATATAACAAGTCATTTTAATATGGTTGAAGATTTGGTTCTGCTTCATTATTGCGTACACACTAACTGCACACTACAATTAATATTCACGATGACTTTTGCATCCCACCAATTGGCATGTGAGTGAAAAGGAGAGAATGGGCATTTGGCATGTGAAAACAAAAGGATGAGTCATTCCCTCACATCCGATCGGATGATTATTGAAAAAGAATTAATTAGATTTTGAACATAGATTAATCGCAAAAATGGAGCATGCATGTACCTAGTACTTGCAAAAGCTTTATGCAGCATAGTGAGTGGCGGATTTAGGAAAAAAAATTATTGTGGGCAACTTCAACTCCTTCAAGCATCAATAGCGGGAACACTGCAAAGCTCTATGACTGAGTGCCTCCGATTTTTTTACAGTGTGAATGACAAACAAATAATTAATTTTATCTCAAACATCTATTCACATAATTTAAAAAAAATAAGAAAGTCATAATTTAGTCTCTAAAATTTGAAGAACACCGAACCCGAGAGTTGCTCTATTTTAAATGTATTCACTCCCATAGTAGTCCCATATTAATAGAATTTGGAATGAGTATGGACAACTTGATTGGGTAATAAAACACTTGGGTTGAACCACATTAAAAGATTGAATCCAATCGATTAGTTAGTTTAACTCAAGAGCTTATATACCGGATTATTTTACTCTTGGACTTCCGATGTGGGATGCACTCTAACACTCCCCCTCAAGTAGACAATCGGGCCATTTTGAATCTAACCGGTTGACCACTTGCAAATGAACTCCCATTCTCTTAATATATTTTTTTGAGCGCCAACACCTAAAGGACCACGAGCCGCTGGGTATGGACTTCCAGACGAGCAATCGTGTTACCCGTTGGATACATACTCCATACGGACAACTGGGCTAAAGACTAACGGGCCGCTAGTAATGAACGTCTAGACGGACACCTTGACAAACGAGGTGGGCCAAAACCTGCTCCGATACCATGATAGAATTATTTGGGAGGAAATTCTCTGTATATTGAATTGTCTTGTGAAACTCTTAATCTTGTTGTGAATACAAAGATCTAATCCTATTTAAATAGGAAGAGGGTAAAGTAAACAAAGAAATTTCTATTCCTACTAAAATAAGAATTAAACAAACTAGGAAAGATATTAAATACTAAATCTAATCCAACTAGGAAAGATACTAAACTTAATCCCAAAAGGATTTGGTTTCCTTCTTCAATCTCGCTTCCTTCTTCTGTCTCTAACACTTTCCTTCTTCAATCTTGTTTCCTTCTTTTATCTCTAACACCCCCCTCAAGCTGGAGCATGGGAGTTTAACATGCCCAGCTTGGACATAAAAAAACGTTCTCTCGGTTCGCGCATCTGCACAAGCTTCTCCGGCAGGTCCCACGTGCAATTCCTACACGTACAAATTGGGATATGCTCCAAACCTGCAAGAAACGTTTCCTCTGTTCGCGCATCTGCGCAAGCTTCTCCGGCAGGTCCCACGTGCAATTCCTACACGTACAAATTGGGAACTGCTCCAAACCACAGAAACTGAGCAACAACTGATGGACGCGATGTCGGGCGATAGTGAGCAGTAACCGCGATCAAGAGAAACTGCCGCCGCGACGGTCGACCCACTCAACCGTTCTTCAACAACGGTCGACCGTTCCGGTACTTCAGCAGCAACAACAGGCGACGATCGATGGACGCGATGCCGGTCGATCGTGCACAGTAAACGCGGAAAGAGTTGTTTGTCTCCGTAGAACAACCCTTGTCCGACTACTTCGTCAAGAATGAGGGAGGACAATAAAAAAAATTAAAAAAATCACAATATCCCGCCGGTAGGCATTGAATTGTGTATGCCCACCGGCAGGGGAAAAAGCGTGTTTGAGGTCTCAAGAATTCAAAACTGGCTCCGATACCATGATAGAATTTGGAATGGGTATGGACAACTCGATTGGGTAATAAGACACTTGGGTTGAACCACATTAAAAGATTGAATCCATCTATTAGTTAGTTTAACTCAAGAGCTTATATACCGGATTATTTTACTCTTGGACTTCCGATGTGGGATGCACTCTAACACATATTTTATTTTATATAGGATTATTTTTTTTTGCGTTGTTTCACACATAATAATTACCTTACTTTCAAAAAATAATTCACCACAATTTTTAACAATTCCACATAGATAATAAAAAAAATAAATTTATAAACACATCAAAAAAAACTATACTTAATACAAAATGAATAAATTAAACAAAAATGACCTAAAGTAGAGACTCTAGCAAGTTGCAACCTACTATGCGTCTAGCCGCATTAGGGGTGGACACGGTACGGTTCCGGTTCCGGAACTGCTGGTTCCGGTACCGCCACCCCTTGGTACCGGTACCGTGACCGGACCGGCCGGTACCGGTGTCGGTACCCGGACCGGCGGTTCCAGCACCGAACCGGCCATTGTCGGCCACCCTTTTTTTTGCCTTTTTATTAAATTTTTAAAGTGTAAAATTGTAAATGTGCAATTGTTAAAGAAAAGAATGAAATAAAAAAATTTAAAAATGCAATTGATAAAGGAAAGAATGAAATAAAAAAAATCTAAAAAAGTACTCCCTCCGTCTAAAAAAGATTTACACCTTTCAAAAAATTACGTCCCACAATCTCCTACCAATTTCTATTAAAAAATCACATTTACCCCTTACTTTTTCAAACCATACCTATCACATCATACCTTTTTCCTAATAATCTACACATCACATCCTACTTTTACCCATCACATCAAGGGTATTTTTGAAAAGTCAACACAAAATTATCCCTTCCTTAATTTCAACTTTAGTCAAAACGTGTAAATCTTTTTGGGACGGATGTAGTAGTTGTTATTTAAATATTGTAAATCAAAAAATAATAATAACGGTACCGGAACCGGTAACGAGGGGGCGGTTCTGGTACCGGTTCCCGGAACCGATGCAACGTCCCGGCCAGCGGTGACGATGGCGGGTACCGGCGGTACCGTTGCCGGTCACGGTACCATACCGGTACCATGTCCACCCCTATGCCGCATGGGTGGTGAAAAAAATACACTAAAAAGATAAAGAATTAAAATCTTGGGCTTTGATAGCAAGATTATGTGAATGAGGGGATATATTATTTTTTAAGAATGAGGGCATAAATCAAAATTCATCCATTTTTTTTTAATATTTTCAAATATTACATTGCATCTACAGTTGTCTTTCAACCCCGTTTCCCGAAATCAAACTCGAATCTTATTCTCTTAGCACTCATTATCTTTGCTAATTGCACAGCGCACACCGATATTTGGTATGTGACGTTGAGAGTAGTGAGAGAGTAAGAGAGGTACAATAGACTTTACACCACATTTGTTTTGTCATAAAAACAAAGTGAAAAAATACAATAAAAAGAAGTGCGGAATATTATGACAAAAAAGAAGAAGCTTGGATAAATACCGGAGTATTATGCAGCAAATGACTAAAAAAAATTATTGGTTAAATATTATATGAAATATTTGTTTTTCAAAAGTATTACTCCTCTTTATGTTTTAACTTCAAACGACAATTAAATAAAAGTGAAATTATGTACTTCCTACGTTCCTCAAAGGTTTCCCTTATTGATTTTTTGGAAAATTTTAAAGAAATTTTTTTATATTGATTTTCCAAAAATATCCTTGATGTAAATAATGTGATGGATATTTTATGAGTAAAAAGGATGACGCGATAGGTAGAATATGAAAAAGTAAAAGATAAAAGTGATTTTTAATAGATAAGGAAACATATTTTGAGGACAATAACAAATGGTAGGGAAAAAATCTTTTAGGGATAGAGGAGGTATTAAAATGAGAGAATGAATATATATGAACCATAAAATACTTTTTTAAGGATGTGTTTGGTTGGAGGAAAGGGAAGGGAGGAACCAAAATCCCTCCCCTTGTTTGGTTTAAGAACATGGAGGGGAGGGAACCCAAAATTTTAACTTCAATTCCCTCCCCTCCCCTCCCCTCCAAATCAATTTTTCCGAATCGGACGGAATCTCTTTCCATCTTGTCCTTTTTTCTTCTGTCAATTTTTTTGCCTAATCAATAAAAAATGAATAGAATAAAATTAAAATAAATAAATAAATAATAGTAATACTTAATAAATAACGCCAAAACAAATAAATACTTTGGTAAATAAATAGAAATAAAATAAATCATTATAAAATAAAAACAAAACACAAGAAAAACAATATAATTATGAAATAGATAAATATAATAATAATTGATAATTAAAATAATAATAATAAAGAACTAAATATAAAAAAATAAAATTTAAACTAAAAATATTAATATGATAAAATAAAAACCCATAAAAAATAATAACATAACTAGAAACATAATAAAATTAAAAGAAAAAAATTGATAATAATCATAATAAAAAATAATTATAATAGTAAAACAAATCAATGATTTCATAATGAAAAGTCGTAGTAATAAATAATAAATACTCGGTAGTAAATAATTATAATAATAAAGCAAACCCGTTTTTTTAAGTTTTCTAGGCATTTACTAGATTTAGATTAATTATTTTATAAATAACTACATTTACATAACTATTTTAGCTATATGCTACGGAGTATCATTTATGTACTACAAATTCAATTTTTACAATAAAATAAAATAAAAGTTCTAGATTTCGTATCAGCCCGTGTCTACCCACACTTAGAGGGTGTTTGACAGTGCGCTGCTTTTAACAATTTAGCTTCTGCTTTGAGTGGAAGTGATTTTTCTCTGTTTGGCATGTCAGCTTCTGCTTTTCACCAACATTATTTTTTATATGGAACACTGTTTCGGAGAAGCAAGTATGAGGTGCTTTTGCTTTCAGCTTTTGTAGAAATCACTTTATAAATAAGTTAATCACTCCCAAACACCCTCTTAGAACCTGTTTGGGAGTGATTAACTTATGGATAAAGTGATTTTCACAAAAGCTGAAAGTAGAAGCACCTCATACCTGCTTCTCTGAAACGGTGTTCTATGTACAAAATAGTGGTAGTGAAAAGCCGAAGCTGACATGCCAAACAGAGTAAAATCACTTCTACTCAAAGTAGAAGCTAGATTATTAAAAGCGGCACACTCCCAAACACCCTCTTATAACCATTGGAAAAGGCCACACTGCTTTTCACCGACGATGAGTATGCAACCACAAATTATATCATCCATCTGGTTGTACCTAGAGATAAGTACAACTGGCATTTAATAGGGGCGAAAGGAAGAAATCGACGATGAAAGAGGTTGGCCAATCGGACATTTGCGCGGATTTGGGATGATGTGTGGATTTGTTCTTCGCATTTGTATCGATTCTTAAGGTTTTTCGATGATGCGGTGATGAAGAAGAAGAAGGAAGACTGGTGATGATGGTGGGGTTTTGCCGGTGATGATTCTGCAGAATTGAAGATGTTGTAATGATGCGGTGATGATGATGAAGAAGGAAGGCCGGTGATGATGATGGGGTTTTGCCGGTGATTATTCTGCAGGGATTCGCGGTTAAGGCTTAGTTAAAGAATGAGTACTAGTCTATGTGGGAATGAGTACTACTAGATTTTAGAATGTGTAATAAGTTATTCATAAATGAATATTGTACAAATATGTGAAAATGAATATTGCGTTTTTTCAGAATAAGTAACATGGTTTTTCAAAATGAATGCTTATGTTGATGCGAGAATGAGTACTACGTTACTTCAGAATGAGTACTACCCGAATGTATCTATCTCTAGCCTCTAGGTACATCCGGATGTACCATATACACTATTGTATGCAACTCCACTAAGAACAAAAAAGAACCAATATATGTACCAAAGGAATAGTACTAATACCTAATTTGTAGTACATAAAAGAACAAAGAAGCATGTTACATGTACCTGAAAATTTGTACCTCATTTGTACACCACAGGTATGCACTAACATTTTGATGGTTCAAACTAGCATAAAATGTTGGTGTGTTAACAAAAATTTACTCACATATACTTATCTCTAGGTACATCTGAATGTACCATATACACTCTCGTATACAACTCCACTAAGAACAAAAAAGAACCAATATATACCGAAAGAATAGTACTAATACCCAATTCGTGGTACATAAAAGAACAAAGGAGCATGCTACATGTACCTAAAAATTTGTACCCCATTTATACACCAAAGGTATGCACCAGTATTTTGATGGTTCAAATTGATACAAAGTGTTGGTGCGTTAACAAAAATTAGCATTACACCGACATAAAATGTTGGTGCATCCCTGCAGTGTACAAAATGGAGTACAAATTCTTGAGGTACAAATATCATAGAAGGAGTAGTACTAATACCTAATTTGTGACAAATGAACACCGAGATCCACAGGTTTTTTGTTGACAAATGAACACCGCCCTCGGCTTCAAAGGTCCTTATTAGAGTGCCACCGTCTTTGCCTTCTTTCTTGACATTGAATGTGATATAGTAAATTTTGTAAGGAAGATTTTCCCCTTGTTCGATTTTACCACAACCACAACTTTATATGACTTTCGCTACATCAAATACCACAAAACATGATAAATATCGAGAAGACAGTTTTGGGTTAATAGTTTTTCTTCAGAACCAAGTTACTAGATATCATATATTCGGAGTGAAAGTAGCATAAGACCAAATATAAAATAAGTGGATAAAATGTTTGCATGTTTGTGGATAAATTATGCATAACTTAGATTGCAAAAACGAGGTCTGCGATGGCAAGGATGCCGGGGGCAGCGAGGGCGAGGGGCTGCAGAAGCATCGTCGGCGGTGGTGTGCTATATATGCCAGAGGGGTGGAGAGGGCTGAGAGGTTGAAGGGTATAATAGGAAAGTTAACCCTATTTTCATTCCATATAAATTTTCATATTGAGTCAAATCCGAGATTTAGTTATAGGCAGAGGGAGTATAAAGTTTAGATTTGTTTAGAGGGCAAGACGGGGAATGTTGGCTCTGGACAGTGCTAGGTATTCTACAACACACCGCCCAAGCAAAACCAAGGCCCAATTTTTTAACACTCCCCCATATTCACCATTTGACTTGCAAACCTCTCTCCGGGGCAAACTATGTTAGACCGAATCTAGGATAATCTGCTAAGTTTAATAAAGTAAAAGACACAGAAAGGAAGATATGACCGGTAAGACTGATGATGGAAACACATGTAGCCTTATTTCTCTTAATTAATCCCTCCGTCCAGGAATATTCTTCTCGTGTTGACTTGACACGTTTATTAAGGAATAATAAAAAATGCCAAATTTCCAAAAATGCACATATTATACACTCCTAAATCTCTTTTTTTATTAAAAAAAGTAATAAAAAAGTAGATTGGTGATAAAATAGAAAGGTATTATTGAAATTTATCTTTAAAAAATATACTATAAAAGAAAATGAGAAAAATATTTCTAGACAAGCCAAAAAGGAAAGTGGAAAGAATATTGGAAGTATATAGATTGCACATGTGAAATTACAATGATAAAATTCGGGTGAGATTATTACCAACAAATGGAGAACATTTGGGAGTAATCTATCCTGGGTGGAATCCGCCGCCGCGGCGGTCTTCGGCGCCGCTTTCCTTTGCTGCTCGCGGTGGCCCTCTTCTTCCAGAAGAGGGGAAAACCGTTGGGAGTACTCGTGCTGTTGGAAGAAGGAAAATCGTTAAGGGTCGCGCTGCGGCAAAAGGCAAAATCGTTAAAAGTCACGCTGCCGGGAAAGGGAAAAGCGTTAAGAGTGGTCGTGTTGATTCGGATGAGGACGAGAAGCCATATGAAAGAACCAAACTCAGACCGGAGCATAGATTCCCGACGAGATCACTTACGACGACCTGAGTGGCGAGGAATTGGAACCCGATTTTCAGGAAAAGTATTTCCCTTATGTTACCCAAGGAAAACTAACCCTCAATGAATATCAACAACGCGTAATCTACAGCAAGACTTTTAAGCGACATTGCAGGCAATGTAATTCGAGTCAGGTGGGTCTTGTCTTCAATATTGTGTTGGTCTGATTGGTGAGAAAACTTTTCGTAGGAGTTTAGCATTTCACTACTCTTTTTCTGATTGTGTGAATTTCTGTATATGTCAGTCAATATCTGAGGAATATCATAATTTATTTTTATGTGTTCGTATATGATTTGCTTGATTGTTTTTTTGTTCAAATTGATGCCTATTGATCTTATTACAATTATGAATGATCGTTTCGTATATCTCAGAACAGGTGCTCTTCTCTTTCTTCCCTTTACTGTATTAGATTGAATTTGTCTCCTACTTTGACTGATCTAGTCGTGTGTGTGCCTTTCGGTGTAGGGGTTCGATGTTGAGCAATTAGTACCTCCAACTCAGTTTCCCCAAACTGTACCTTGGTCCTATATCAAAGAGAAAAGCTCTTTCAATCAATCTCTTGATAAAGTTTTTGGCTTAGCAGAATTGGCTCTCAGCCGATACAATGGCCGTTTCGTAAGATCTTTCTATTTATATCCATCTCTCTAGTTACATATATGCGTGTGTAGACACACACATGTGTGTGTCTATCAGTATTTGTATGTGTATCAGTCGTATAATGTTGAATTATTTGTTGATCACCCGTCGTCACGGCAGATTCTGAATTCCACAAGGGCCCTGTTCAAAACAATATTTTTTAAATATTATATAGAATAAATCTAAAAAATTATTTTTTTATGAATATTTAATATTGATATTATTTAGTTTGTGATCAAAGTTTGTCAATTTTGATTTAAAAAAGTTAAATCAAAGTATTAATTAAGGAGTTTGCAATTAAGGGCAAGTCTATAAAAGAGCAAATTTTTTTCGTTCTACAAACTTGCAAACATTTTATCCACTTGAACTTCAATTTGGCCTTTTGCTACTTTTTGCTTCAAATATAGGATGCTTGTTAATTTGGGTTAGGAAAAATAAAACAAAGAATGAAATGCAAAAAAAAAAAAGTTTAAAAATACCACCATCTATTAAAGAAAATAAAAATGGGAATTGAATAAAGCTAAGATGAACAACTAAAAATTACTCAAAAAATACTAAAAATGTTTAGAAATGAAGAAAAGCTACTAATCCAAAACTGTCTTCTCAGTATTTATCATGTCGTGTGGTTTTTTTTTATGTCGTGTGGTATTTGATGTAGCGAAAGTCATATAAAGTTGTGGATGTGCTAAAATGGAATGAGGGGAAAATCATGCCTTATGATGTTTACTATATCACATTCAATGTCAAGAAAGAAGGCAAAGACAGTGGCACTCTAATGAGGACCTTTCAGGCCGAGGTCGGTATTCATGTTGTTACCAAAAAAACTCTAGTGGAGCTCTGTCGTCCTCGCCCTGCTAGGAAAGGTAATCACTGCAATCTGTGTATGTTTGAGATCTTGCTTTGGAATGTTAATTGTTTCTTTTAAGCAGAAACTATTAGGTGGAATGACGCCAACCTATATTAGGTGTGGATCACATCGATAATTTTGATCCTATTTGTAGTATCTCTTTTAATGTGTATGATTCCTTGGATGTCTGCCTCTGGTGCTGTTAGTATTTATAACCTGTTCCTTATATTTCTCATGTAAAGTTCAGTAAAATGTGTGTTTTTGAATAATCATTCTGATCATGCATCTATCTTGCAGGCGATGCTTCTACGTCAGAGGGGAGAGAATGAACATCCTTGGTTTCCCTCTTTGTAGGGTTATCCTTCTATGCTAGATGTGTGACTTCTGTCTTCCATTCCTGTTGCCATGCAGTACTGTGTTAATAATGTTCATTCTATTGTCTGGTTATCTTTAAGTAATTATGGCTTTGCTAGTGGGTGACTCTTTATGTTTATTTCATGTAAGACTTTGTTGTTGTTGATGTTGTTCTAGTATTATGGATTTGCTACTTTGACTTAATGGTATTTTTGTTAAGTTGGATTTGGATTTAAAATCCCAAAATGGCCCATTTAGAATTCATGTACTTTCTATTGTTATTTATAAATCAAGAACTTAAATTACGGAATGGAAATGAATGAATTGCTAATATTCAGATATTATGTAAAAGAGTTGTATATTCTGAAGTTGTGTTTGTGGTGGGATTTTCGTCCTTCAGGTTTTGCGTGTTTGTTCATTTGTTTATCTGATTGATTTTTTGAGTTCGATGACTTTTCCTGGCATCTATGATAATAACTACGGAGTACTCCGTAGTATTTTTAACCCGTGCAACGCACGGGGTCGAACGCATGTTATTTTTAATTCTTTTAAATGTTTATTTTAAGTACATAATTAAAAAATGAAGCTAAATATAATAGACAATGTTAGAATTTTAATGAATGATACAACACAAACAGAGTATGATAACTAAATTTAATGGGATACAAAATTGGAATCGAGCGTATAAATGTATTGATTAAATCCAAATTTTTTACATAAATGGTTTTATTAAATTTATTATATCAAATTTTATAAATCTTATATGTTTTCTTGTTTTTCCCCTAAATATTATTCATTAATTGTTCACATCTCAAAATCCCAAAAAAGTAGTATTGAGTAATTATTTATTGTGGGATCTTTTGAGACACCGACCTCATGATATGCGAAAACATTTTTAAAAAAGAATCAAGTCGAATCAAAGTGTAAAACAATTTAAAGATTCGAGTAATTTTTTTTGGGCACACCAAAAATGAAGTAAGTATTCTCAAATACTGGTATTTCCTCCGTTTCTCAAAACGGTTCCTGTTTTTACTTTGGAGAGAAATAATGAAAATGTAATTTTAGTTGACTTTTCTATTTTGCCCCTGATATGATGGGTAAAAGTAAGATGTGATAGTTTAGTTATTAGTGAAAAAGTATGATGTGATAGGTAGAGTATGAAAAAGTAGGGGTAAAAGTGGTTTTTTAATAGAAAAGGAAAGTGTTTTGAGAAAAACAAAAAAAAATTGAAAGAGGAATGGTTTTAAGAAACGGAAGAAGTATTTTTTTGGTAACAATGAACCTAATGGGTGAATTAATGCTGACAATTATTGAAATTTAAAACCATTGCGTTTTTCAAAAATAGTATCACAATCATAATATTTTTCGTAAGATAACGTTACACGTTGATTTTAAAGAAACACACCAACTCTTAGGGTTGAGCTAAGCTCCACACTTTCTTTAAGAAAAGGCAGTGTTGAAGTTCCACATTTTTTTGTGAGGCAATTTTTGTATATATCTTGAAAAGTAAAATATTTTAAAAATACATGTATAATAAAGAATGGTTGAAGTGTTATGTGATCACCTATCATATTGTATCATTTCTTTATAAAAACTCAAATAAAATTCTGCTTTTGGAAAACAAAGCAAATGACATAATCTTTAGTTGCCAAGTCCAAAAAGTGAATTTGCCAAAAAAATGTAGCAACACTGCTTTTTCCAGCTTCTTCCCAACAAAGGAAGCGGAAAAACATGAGGAAATGTTGGTGTTGGATGCCTGATTTGCCAGCAAAAACTCCAAAAGCAGGAAACATCAATGCTAAATTATAA